ACTTCAGAGTATTGGTTCAAAAGAAACTGTGTTGTGCGGATAGCCATCCGATAAAATCCGATCAGTGAACGTTTAAAAAGTTTTATCTCAAGTCATTACGGTTACAATCTGAAACCAAATACTGGTGTTTTATATTTTTGTTGAATCAAGACTAGAAACTTTTTTTTTAAAATTTGTATAGTGTAAGTTTTTTCCTGATAAGAGTTTAATGAATTGCTCAATTACTACTTTCTTACCTGGTTTAATTTTTAAATAGTTTCTTTTAACTCGTTATTAAATAATAATGGTGTACTTAATGAAATTTGTTTATGCTTTTATATCTTAAATAGGAGTTGAAACAGACCAACAGGTATTGATGTCAACTACATAACATACCTAATATCGTGTCCACTGGTGGGCGTATAGTTAAAGTTCAAGTCTAGGTTTGTATAATTATCCCATAGGATAGAAATAAATACTGTTTTTTCTTTTGCCTGCAATTTCCGTAATTTATACAATTTATTCGATTGACCCGATATAAGATGTCCTGTTATTTCGGTACGGTATTGGTATATATAAAAAAAAATTGAAACTTATATTATGTACGCCATACCGAAAAATTGCATCCTCTACGCTTACAAAACATCTTCATTACTACTAAACTTTTATTTACATATTTCATTTTTTTAAATTATTTTTTTTAGACAAAAATATAGCTTTATGCCTTACAGCAGATACCTCGTACTCGTCATTTATTATTATTATACCAAACAGTTTTGCGGTACATCGGTCATGTGCAACCGTGTATGCCACAGGATCTTGGTATAATAATTATATAATTATGTGCGTAAGACGTACTTGCAATAAAGCCAACTTCGTCAGATGCTTCTAAATAATATTATATTATTTGTCGCCGGTGTTCGTTTGGATTTCCAACGACCCTATATTATACGCTTTAATGTGGCAGCTGCAGTCAATTGAATTACATGTGTTTCACTGCGAGTAGACCATTTCATTAGCTCTCATACCAATAATTGTTAAGCCGGACACGGAACGTCTCAGTCCGTGAATAATGCCGTATAGGTAATGCAAATTGTTCGCATAAAAGCGTGTGTGACATTGCGTCTAACTGAGTTTAATACACTTATAAAATACAAATTAATTTTATCGGTTCGAAACGACTTTATACAATTATTCCATCATACACTGCGTTTTTTTAGCAAGGTAGTACTGCAAACGCGACAGATGTGTTCAGGTGAAATATATTATACGGTATAATGTTAGACTAAATGAACACGCCGCACTAAAATGAAGACACTGTTTTGCTTCCATCATTACGAATGAATCTTTATTGCAGTACTTTATATTATTATATGTGTTATATAGCCAAAGCTGGGCAGTAACTAGTTACAAAGTTAAAAGTTACTAAAACGGTTTACTAAAAAAGTTGTTAAAACTAAAGTTATTTGTATTTATGGGTTTTTCTACGATGAACTGTACCCATATTATTTGCATTGATATTTCTGAGAACTGCCATATCTTCCGACGATTTTAGCCTTTGGGCACATTATTATTTATTACTATATTATTATAGACGATTGTAGACGTATAGTAGAATATAAGAAAGTACCCTCGTACATATAATACCTATAGTATTATAGTGAATAGTGTTCATTATTATTCATATATTTATTTATTAGATATTAATTAAGAATATAATTAGGAAGTTTAGAAGTTCATAAGCATACTGTTTCTTGATAGGTAATAATACGATTTCCAGAACGGACCTAATTAGTAATTTCTGATGCAGACATACAGTGATAACTATACCTAGGTATAAAGCTTGTTGCCGTGTTTTCTTCAAAATACTGTCTAAATTCTTATAATAGTTATAATATTATATAGGGATATAAATAAAATATTACAATAACAGTGTTGTTTATCTTATAAAATCACATAGTCTGTGCGTTTGTTCTTAATTTATTTTACTTAACACCAAAACTGGTTACTTTCCTACGACGAGACAAAAAAACGTTTGTGAGTAAGTTGAACGTATTTTAAAGAAATGTAACTTAACTTTTAACTCAACTTAGTTATTATTTTCATGAAAATTGGTAACTTCACTCAGTTACCTACTCGAATTTGTTTACTTCGTAAAATTAATTTTAACTTAGCTTAGTTATTTTTTATTTTAGGATAACTTAACTTTAACTTTTTTTTTTTTTTTTTTTTTTCAGGTTTAACCGACGACGCCGCGGGAACTGCTTTCGCAATGCTTCCGCGGCGCCGCCATAACTTAACTTTAACTAGTTCAGTTAAAAACAATTAGTTAAATTGCCCAGCTTTGGTTATAGCTTACTATCAGTTTTCAAGAATAATATAATGATATTACACCAGTGAGATATAGGTAGAGAGACAAACTATATAGGCACTCAGCATAGGTGCAAATCATTAAGAAATAAAAAAATGTTAACCACCGAAAAAATTTCAGTAGAAGATCAAAATAATACATAAATACACAATATTATGAACAGATTATAAAGTGTTTAGTTAAAACGATATTACTATATGCAAAAGTCAGCAGTAGGTTCAATGGTATTATTTTATAATTATGGAGAACAAAGTATGTAATATAGTTTTTGCATAGGTATATTGAGTTACACTGTCTAAGAATTATGTTAAAATTGATTATGTGCATACCATAATGATATAGCCTCTCACAGATGATCCATTGCATACGTCAAACTCGATTTGGCTAGATTTTATAAACAACTTAATAAGGCGTGTCGGCCATACTTTGTCATTTAATGAAATGTTGGACAAAAATAAAGAGAAAAGATTTGATAGTAAATTAATATTATATTAAGCCGATAGCTATTATAATAGCAATAAGCAATGGAAAGTATATTTTCATAAGTCCTTGTTCGTTCTATCAAACATCCCTAAAATGTATAACTCTATATTTGATGCATGTTTAATATTATGAAATAATATACGTTGTGGTCCTTGCGTTTCTTCGCCACCGTCACGAAATATAATCTGTTATACCGCCGTCGGCCAACACCGAACTTCGTGGCACAGAAATTATATATTATTATTTTAAATGTGGCGATAAATGAAAATAATAATAATATAACGGTCCATCCGGTTCGGGGGCCGCGGTCCTAAGTCCATTAAGCCGACCGTTTCTCCGGGGTGTTACCTACTGCAACGCGGACGACATCGATGTACTTATAATGAAATACGGCTGTTGCGGCGCAAGGGGAGGGCCGAAATCAATTCCGAGCGCGTAGACGATTGGAATCGGTTATTTTTTTCATTTCGATCCCGGATCGTGGACCGAGTGAACAAAAAACAAAAAAAAAATAAATAAATACGAAACCCCCGGAAACGGCTATACCAGGTCGGGTCTATGCCCCAGTAATATATCACTCAGCCATGGCGGCGAGGAGGAGCGTATATAGACGTTTCGAGTAAATCGTCTCGCGGCCGGAGGTGATATAGCTTGACAATAATATAATATAACATTATACGGTGCAATGTGTGTAATAATTGTAAATACTATAAATATATAGCTCGAGCGTTCAATCTAAAGGAACCGATGGCTACATTGCATTATATACTTGCTTGCAACGATCGGTGGACTTTTTTTTTTTTCCAGAAGTCTATTTGTTTCACCGTATTGCGGGTATTTTTTCATCGAAAATATCGTCACCACATCATTTCTGTATTATTATTTGCCATGTTGATAAACCGACCGTAGAAGTAGTGTGGTCCGAAATAAATCGTCCAATATTTTAATAAACTCCAATAAGCAAACTCAATACCTAATAGTTGTAAGGTTTACATCAGGCTGACTAATACGGAAACGTTGAAGGCTTGAAAACTCGCAAAAAAATAGAATTTTAGAAACCAAATGTTACTGTTTTGGCTTTTTTCTTATGTTATGGCCGTTTAATGTTCAAACCACGTAGAAGAATTAAAAACAAAAGGCGGAAAACATATCTACCAACTACCTATATAGAAAATGTAATTTGTTACTGTTATTTTTGGATACCTATATTAATATCACATGTTATTATAGATTTATTAATTTGCATAAAAAATTTAGTATTCAACAACTATGTTTTTTGGTAATCTGTAAACTATCAAGCCATATCGAAAAGTGACATACTTATATAGTTCACCAGTTATCAAACGTAATTTTCAATTTTTTTTTCCCGCCAATATTCATAGTTCGTATTAATACTGCCATGCCTAATCTCATTCTACTACTGAAGTCTCAGCAACGTAAGCGTCACTCGTGTACTCCAGCCGTGCCAAATAACGTTTTCGAAATACATAATTTTTTCGACGAACGTATACGACGAATGGGTTAGTGTGTGCGAGTGTGAGTGTACACCAAGTCGTCGTGCACATATAATAACACCGCGATGATGTGAAAATAAAAATAATAACAGAATTAATAATATACGTGTAGGCAGCGGAGGCGGGTTAGGTCTGGACGGAAAAGGCACGGCGGTGACGGAGGAACACGAGCGCGTACGACCAAGACGGCGAGGACACCGGCGACCGCCGCGACCGTTTTTCGGGGGTGTGCGCTATATGGGGTGCGCGCGCACCGCCGCCGCCGCACACGCTACTATTACTACGTCCACCGTAACCTTCCACAGCGAGCGTACGATATACTATTATACCGCACCCCCCCCCCTGCGCCCCGGAGTTGAGGGCGCCCACCGTCGAGCGGGAAAAACGGTCGGCCTTTTCGCGCGCTCCGCCGCGGTAGGGGGTGATGGTCGACGAGGGGGCGGCGGGGTGGAGAACCAGTGCGCTCAAGCCCGTGCCCCCTCCCTCCCCCCCCCATTCCCGTTCTAAACTAACCCCGGCCACGGCACCACGAACGCGCCTCCCCGCGACGACGACCCCCCCCCCCCCCCCCCTCCCCGCGACGACGACCCCCCCCCCCCACGACCACGGTGTCGAGCAGCTGCTGTCGAGCGCGCGATAGTGTGTCTCTCCAGCTCGCGGCACGCGGTCCCTTTCCGGTCACCGGTAGCACCGGTCGTCACGTCGTCTGTGAGCGTATACGTATACGTGTGGGTGTGTGTGTGTGTGTGTGTGTGGGTGATATAGAGAACTTCACAATCGTCGTCGACACGCGACGCTCACCGGGTAAGTGACTTAAGGTTTTTTTTTTTTTTTTAACAAGCACACTTCACTATAGTCATATTATGTATATATATATATATATTATGGTACTCGAATGTCTCGCGACACAACATTATCGTTATTTTTGTTATTGTTGCTATAATCGTTGTTGTTGTTGTGGTTGTGGTTGTTGTTGTTATCACACGGACGCACTACTTGGGAGATTCGCGCATATATATAGGTACCTACACAGGCATAGAATCGACAGTTTATCTGAGGACAAATTCTAATACTGTTACACTTGCGGAGTAGAACATTCGTAGTCAAACTGAAAAAAATGACGGTATAGTACACGAGAATAATAGACAATAGTATATACTATTGATACTTAGGTTGTTTCGTATTAAAATTGATATTTCATTAAAAAATAATAATAATGAAATGTCGGTCACTGTCTTGGGCCCGTCTCGTGTATTGTAAAAGTGATCAGTGATCACCTTGGTAGACTTGAAATGTTTTCCAGATTTTTTTTCTTCTATCGCAGTCATACATCATAATATTATACAACACTAACATTGTGTGACGTGCACATACTAACTACTGTTGCTGACTAGTTGGATAAAATACACATGAGTAAACGGCCGTGTAATTCAATTAACACGAAAAATAAACAATGTAATTGGAGAGAGTTAAGATATACGCTGAAACCATTGTTTAACAGACACACTTGAGAAATTAAAATGTATATATTTCACAGAAATGTCTGCACTCGGCTTTGATATGCACTACTGCAGGTGGACAATTTTAAACGTCAGTTATAAAATGGTTTCCGCCGCCGCTGGAAACTGTTCTTACACATTCTTCCAAAGTTTAATGTATCAGTATTTTTAGAATAAGATTTACTCAAATAATAGTTTGTTTCGTCCTATATTTTGTACTTGCAAATTACAGATACATACGCGTACATTAAATCTACACGTCAAAGAAAGAATATTCAATAACTTGATCATGATAGTTAAAGCAGTCCGTAATACTTGTACCAACTATTTACTATGTCCGAATAATTAATTTTGTGCTCTAAAATATAGTTGGTAGCTATTATCATAAACAAATTATTGTATATAGGTACATATAAAAGAAGTTTTTTTATATATCAGTTTAGTATAATTCGTTTTAAAAATGACGATCAAGTAAACGTTGTAATAAAAACGTGATTTGTTTGTATTCATGCTTATCGGCCATTTTCATTCTTTAAAAAGAAAACGTCTTAACATTTTGTTAGTTCAAACTTTTTATAAGTTTGTGACGTGAGTGAGCATATTATATTCCGTGGAAAATTGATGACAAAAAAATTTTGCAAATTATTTTACATTATAATTTAATATCTTATAACGTTCAGTTGTAATACATTAAATAATGAAGGAAATTAATTGGGCAGGGGCTTCCTCCATTGAGAGTTGATATATAGAGCCTAAAAGATGTTTTTACTGATTACTTATGAGATCGCTTGAAAGGTACATTTAAGGGATGACTGAATTATTATTTTTAAAAAAATAAATTATTGTCTTATCTTATCATTTATTATTATTTTCTTATATTAATTTTCAGTTGAGTATCTTAATTTTTGAGTATGGGAGTACTTCCAAAGTTCTAAGAATACTAATATCTTTGATAAAACAAGTCTTAACAAATAATAAGAGCAAAATGAATAAAAACGATTGTAAAAATAATTCATTTTATTTGTCTAAGAAAGAAAATACGTTTTAATATAAAGTTGAGTTTTCGTTAATTTATTTCTTGTAAATTCGTATAGGTACAGTATTTAATTTTGTAAAATAATTTTAGTGTTATCAGGTATAATAAAAATAATAATAAAAATAGTTTATTTTTGTTGTATAACTCAATCAATACTGTTTTACCTTGTAAACAATTTATTTTTAAAATAAGTTTACAATAAGTAAATTATATTGCATATTTTAATTTGGAATGCAATAAATCAGTAACTTTTAGGTACTTGTTGTAACATTTTCCAGATATAAAGCTAAAAATAAAACAATTTAAGTTACTACAATTAATACAATTTCATACAGCTTAAAATAAAATTGATATCCAATAATTACTCTGTAAAAAGTCTTCTAGCAGATTTTCAGTTTACCGGAAAATTTCCAATCTCTATTCCTGTATACATTCGTATTATTGCATGTAAATGGATTTTTTTTGTTAGGGAGGCTATTGGGCCAGTGTCCAACTGACTGTAAAGCACACATGTTCTGTGGTGCTTTCACACATGATAAAATCGTGCGTGTTTGTAAATTCATACTTCCATAATATAATGGAACACTTCACAATATGTCGTAGGTAGGTAGGTAGGTAGGTACTCAATGTCGAACAAAAATTCACAAGAGGTTTAAAGCAAGTATACTCGGCAACGGTTTGGTTGTTAACAAGTATAATATGTACAATGTATAGATAAATTGCTGTTTTATCATTATTCGTAAAAATGCACTTTAAGTACAATAACGGCACTCAAGTTCAAACCCCTCGACGAGCTAAAATCATATGCAGTTTGTTGAATTTATTTAGGCCGTCGACGTTATTTTTTCTTTGAATTTAATTAAAAACCTAAAGTACACACACGCACACACATGCACTAAATACACTATAAAATCTTCATTGTTGTAATTAAGATGGACTTTTGTACATTTTATCCGTAGACGTTCCACTTTAACCTCTGTCGGGTAATGGGTATCACGTGTTAGGCCTGGTTTTATATAATACCTATTATATCCATAAATATTATAATTTATAAAAACATCACAGACAACACAAGTTGAACTTAAAAAGTGATTATATAAGATTCAAGCAATTGATGTAATCAAAAATACTGAAAAAATTGCGAGAACCTGGAGGATTATTTATGGAAATACTTTAGTAAGTTTTTGCGTTATGCTTATAATTTATTACACACGGCTTCGTACGATTATAAACCAACGGAACCTTTCAACGTTATAAAGTTTTATTATTTTCTTAGTTATTATAATATAATAACACGTTTATTAGAATATTTCAAAGTTTAAACTGTTGTGTGTAAAGCCAAAAAAGAAATTAAAAATATTTTTGTGGGTTGATTTGTAAAATGATTTGCTTTTATACTTGAGCCGTATAGTAAACATAAGAAATTGTATCCATTTAGTACTAGAAATCAAAAAATACATATTAATATTTCAATATTATTAGTATTATACTTAATGCTCGATTAGTCTGGAGCGTTTGTTTTTCCTGGACAGGATTAAAAATGTTTATAAGAAATTTGCCACCACTTTTAGCAGCTAATCATGAATGAGATCTCACCACGTGCATCCTGATACGGAGGGCTGCCTACCTCATTTTCTTTTAGTATGAAATTCTGCCCCCACTTACTTGGTTTTGACTTAATATTTTTAATTATCCATCCATCTTAGATTTGTATGTATAAATTGTATTTGTAGATATTACAAACGATGTCAAGTCAAATTGTCATAAATAATATTTTGTTTTCCAAAATGTTAACATTGAACACTGCTTAAAATATATTTTTCATATAGTATAATATAACAAGTAATCATCAATCGTTAATCACTTAAAACTGAGATAGATAATAGTACTGAACAGTGAACACTACCAGTCACAACTGTATTAGAGCTAATGCAAACCCAAATTTGGGAGTCAATTTTAGTTGATCCATCCCCCTTATTTTGATTCACTTGGATCACTGCTGATAATAACAATATGTGTCAGGGGAAAAACAGTTTAAGAACAACTGATCTAATGTGAAAATGTTGTGCTCTTACTTTGTGTTCTTTGGGGTTCTCTGAACCAAAAAATAGATTTCTTTACAAATTACTAACAAAATTACGACAAATTAAGCTCTGAGCTATATTATGGTAACAATACAAAATAGGAGATAGGTTTGGCATAAAACCTAATAAAATATTGAAATTTCATTTTCAAACATAATTGTATTTTATTTTGTACAAATTTCTCATTAAAATTCAACTCAAAATGTGTGTTTAATATTTTTAATAGATAAGCCATTTTATAATGTCAACAATTGTAAGTTTATAAAAATAAAGTTCTTCAGTTTTTTATTATTACATTACCTCAATAGAATATGTAACTATTTAATATTTTCATTTACAATTTCAACTGAAATCTATAAGTAAAAAACAATGAACATGCAAATAAATTTTTATAGTTTTTTACTACCCGTAGTTCTAAAAAAAGGTGGTGAAAGAAATTATAAACTCATAACTGATAAATAAGGTCTCCATACATAAACAAAAAAAAAACTAATAACTGAACTGAGTTATAAATTGGTTCTATCTCACAAAACTTACTCTAGTTGAAAAACAAACTTTCTTTCTACCCAGACTTACATCTATCGTTTTAATGTTGTGAAATTTTATCGTTGTAAAAGTACTAAATTATTTAACTAAGTTGACTTCTACATTTCTATAATTGGATGTACATAACAGGACAATAAGTAATAGGTAACTGTTCATTATGAGCCACTTAAATATGTATTTTTTTAAATGGAGGTTACCCCACTTCCAATAATATAATACACTTAATGATTGACTTAATTAATAAAATTATCTGAACCTTTAAACAATACAAGAACATTATCAAGATATATGAAATACGAATTTCAAACTTGTTACATTTTAGTGTATTTAATTTGTTGCTACGTACCATCATGGAAAACTTTTTTAAATGTCATTAATGAAAAACTATCCTACTCCATTCCTTCCTAATTAAATAAAATAATATTATTTTTTCAAAAAGTGTTTTATATCCTTTTCACTCAACAGTTGTGAATTTAATTTTAAAGTTTAGAATCCTGACGGTTAGGATATTTTTCAGTGTATGAAAAAATATTTTCATATAATTTTATTTTCTTAATCCCATAATTGTACGTAAAAAAAAAAAAGTAATCTTAAGATAAATGAAAAAGATAGTAAAAAATCATCACTGCAAAACCAAAATCCTCCTTTCTCTAAAAGTATAGGGACTCGAATATATGATATTATGAATTAAATTAAGAGATAAAATAATAGACTCCGGATATATTATGAATTATGATTATAACATATTGATATGTGTATGCATTATGCACTTAAAAATATACCGATTTAATATCAATAATAATATTACGTACATCATTATCAGAAGGTAATAATGAATCAATCTATAGTTAAAATATTAATACCATCATACATGTTTCATAATATAAAAATTATGTTTCAGCATTTGTACCAACCACCAACATTCATGGCGTCCACAAATACACCTCCCGAAATTCCACCGCGAAGACACAGCTCAACCGTTTCACCAATCAAGTAAATATTACTTAGTTTATTATTTACAAAAAAAAAGTTTTTAAAAATTTATTTTTTCATTTTTTAGTTCATTAATCGGGTCAAACATGTATTTGAGGGCGTATTAAAAAATGTCTTATGCCCCCCGCACAAATAAATAAACAAATACGCTGAATGGGTGTAGCACCGACCCCATGTGACCCCTTTAAATATGCCCATGCATGTATTATTTTCAAAAACACTATAGAAACGTAGTGTTTATATCATAACCATCGCACGAGACCTTAAAAGATCTTTATAAAATAGTACAAGATTTATTTTATATTTTGGTGGGGTATGTGTGAATACAAAATATAATTTTTAATAATGTTCGATCCAGGGCAATTGAATAATCATAACTATCGAAGTATTAATTAAATAATTATACAAACAGGTTGTTAAAAATGTATTGAAGTTTTTTTTAATTATATTGTTCTATAACTGACGACTATAATGACGTATACGTATAAATGTTGTTTAAATAATTTTGTTGACACTATATTTCATAACTTAACTTAATAGTTTTTTTTGTATTATAAAACGTTTCAATGAGAAATATCGATATTTTTTTCTTAGTGCAATAATCAGTTGAAATTATTCTGTCAATGCTCAAAAATTACTTGTAGTAGAAATTTGAAGTTTTTCTCATCGTTAGTGATTTTGTTATCCAGGTATTGGGTAAATGCAACTCCTCTTTCTGTCACTTCATTGGACAGTCAACTCATAGGTTCTTAAAAACTTTTTCTACATCCAAGTAACTTTTAGACTCGCTTCAGTCTTCAACGTCAGTTTCTCAGAATTCGTCGATCACAAATTATTTGAAAATTCTGATCATATTTCTGCTAAACTATGAAGCTGCGCACATTTTCTAATAATCTGGATCTATTTTTTTGTCTTAAAATGTAAGCTTCTGGATAATGGTTACTAATCATTGCGATAACTATATTACACATCATTTCTACTGCAAAGTTTTGGTCAAATAGGCGTAGACCAATTAACTGTCAGGTACTAGAAATTGTCCATCATTTTCTTCACTGTAGCTGTTGTAATATCTGGATTATCATGACTTATTAAGGTCTTTATCAACTGTATGTCAATGTCGGCGGCACACATTTTTAGAAGTTCAGACTGTGCACTAATTCCTTATAACAGACAGTCACATAAAAACGCAGATTTTCCTAATCCCCTTTTCTCGCTTTAGTATTCAGATGAACTTGTTCAGTAAACATAAATATTTTTAACAGTAAATTACCTTTGAAATTCAACTAGCATACCCCCAGGTAATACCTGGAATCGTAAATCTCATTTCTCTGATTTATTGTTTATCAAGAAAATATATATAGATATAATCATATCTCACTTGTTTTATTTGAAGCGATTCTTGACAAAAATAAACTAGGTCATATCTTTGCTTGTTTGAAATCTTGAGAATAAAATAGACTGCTGGGTTGCCCATGATATATGCTGACTGATCAATTTTTGACCAAAACTGACCAAATCGATCAAAACGTCGGTAACAGGCCCAAATTTATCTTTAGGTAAAGCTGCTCCAAATTCACAGTATATATATGCTTGTGTACGTGTTATTAGTCTAAGGCCAGAATGTTGATGAATTTTTCATTTTTTTTGTTACATCATAGACAATACTTTTAGTTTAAAATGTATTTAATTTTTTTTTTAAAGTCTGATTTTTTTTGTGTTTAGGTCTTTTTTTAACAATTATTGTGAAAAATATAATTTATAATTATTACATTTATTTTATATACGTACCTACTACGACAAATATTTGAAACAAAACCTTCGATTGTTTTATAGATTAAATCCAGTTTTTAAATTAAAATTAAAATCAAAGTTATGAATGTTTATAAATTTTAATTTTCAAGTATAATTTTATAGTTTTTTGGGGGCATCAACATCATTACTTATTATAACTGTAACTCACTTTTTTTCGACTAAATAAATAATTTATGTAAATTCCATATTATGACGAAAAAGATTATATAGTTATGTGCAACCAAAAAATATGTCTATTATTACTACAAAACAAACGTATATTAAGTAAATCAATTTGTTAATTTTAGGATTATTAATCAAAATTCTGCCGCAGAGTCAAAATCTCCTTCCTTTCTATCAAGGAGACATTCATCTTGTATTGACGATAACATGGATACTGAAACTGACACGGTAAGTAGATTAGTTATACTATTATAATGTACCCCGTAAAGACGGTTTACAAAATGTATTATATTTTATATTTTTTTTTTGTATGCTACTCATATTTATAATTATTATGAAGTGTAAGCGTTATGCGCTATTTATCATTTATCTATTGTCAGATGTATTAAAAATAGTAAATACAATATAGGTAATAATATAATATAAACTCATCAACATAATAATAGTATGTAGAAATTGCATATTTATGCATTAATTGATATTTCATATTAAAAAAGGAAAAATCCATGTATGATTTACTAGACGTGTAACCTTTATATCGGCCACGTTTCATGACTACGATTTTGTATCGATTTTGAATTTTTAGTTCCAGGATTTGAATCATATTTTAAATGGTGCTTCATTAAAAAGAATAGCATAAGTTTTTTTAATATAGCATAACTCCGAAGAAGCTATTTGTTATTTACTGATTAATTCTCTTCTGAAAATTAATGAACGATTTCAATATTTCATTTTCCTTTTATGTTTGATGACAATGCCACTTTTTTACTAATTTGAATTAAAAAATCTATATATATTTATATTGAATTCGTTGATAAGCATAATATTCGTGACGGCTGAGTAATTTTTTTTGTAATTGTCAGAATTATTCACTTAATTCGTAAGTTTTCGTTGTTTCATGCCAATGCGCGTGTTCGTATAGATAGGCTTATATAGTATATGTAATAGTTGACGAACTTACAACTTGCACATAATTACATTTATAGTTTATTAATCATATTAATTTCACTCAGAAAATATGGTATTATAGGTTTATTATTCTTTGTGATGGGCATATTCAGATTTATCCATACTTCGAAAATCTGGTTTTCACGGTGAATCCATATAATTCAGCTTATTCGATTCAATATTTCCGTTCAATGACAAATTTTTATATTCTAATAAATTAAAGTTTTATTAAACTTTTTAAACACATCTTATTTCCAGCTCATTTTGACTATGAGTGTTTTTGTCTTGCACATCAAAAAACCAAATCAATAACTCCGAACAATTCGACAAATCTGTATAGGAATTTGACATCGATTCGAGTATTCGGACTTCATGAACACCACTAATTGTTTTTCGTAGATCTTAACTTACATAAATGCTGTGTCGAACAATATTGAAACAATATTTAACATTACAAACATAATGCACACGATGTTGATACAGAAATCCACGATCATTCCCGGTATTAACTATATTTTTTGATACAATTTTAGTTAAATTTATTTATTGAAATAAATCTACAATCTATACATTTTTGTACAATAAGTAGGTTTGATAAGTGATAAAATAAAAGTAGTTAACATGAATCGTGAGATTAGGGAGAATACCCAGTTGTAACGACCTATAAAGTGACTGTAATAACAGTGAAACATTTTAAAAATTGAAAGGTGTTACCTGGTAGCGACGTCCAGCACTTAATCTTCTCACCTACTATAGAAGAAGATCTCTACACCATGAAACTTCAAAATATCGTTTTACCTATAGTTGTTTGCACAGTTTTTTTCTTCTTTTTATCATCAATGGCTTTATTTTTTTACAAACACGATTTTTTTTACAGTTTTGAGTCCAAATGACACCGCGTTGTCTTTATGTGTTTATATATATACGGTTCAAATGTCCAATTTAGTGTATTTTTGTACCATAATATATACAAAGATATTACGCTCTATCGGCAGATGCATAATATTTTTTATTCCCGTTTAACTCGAATGGCGTAGTCTTTAAAAGTGATCACACCAGCCGTCGCGAACTGTACGCAATTTTTTTTTTTTATTATTTGTTTCTTTTTTTTAATAATAATTTCAGAAGAATCATTGTTATATTACATATTCTAAATAAAATAAAAGAATATAAAATAACGAGGGTACTATACGGTAATTATTTAATCCAACATATATTGCATAATTTATGACCATATATTATTTAGTTATGCTTTGCATAACTTTATTTCTACTGGGTTTCGACCCAATAAAATTAGTGAGTCCGTTTATACTGTTATAGTTGGAGGTAGTAGATACCATAAACACTACAATTTATATCTACGATTTATGTTACCATAGAACTGCTTATTCAAAGTTTTCCTCTGTAGAGAATTTGGTTTAAGAAGTATTATGGTTACGGTAGAGTTCTTTAAAAGTGATTAAACCATATGTTTGTCACCGTAAAATAAGTTGTATATTTTGTGTATAGAATTCAGGATGTTATTGTTTTTATAATTGTGGGTTTTAAAGAGTTAGCTGAATGTATAAAAAAAATTGTTAGCTGTTAGCTAATATGATAACTCAACAATTAATAAATTATATTATATTATAATATGTGTAACATTATGTACAATACCAAAAGTAGCTGTAAATATGAAAAAGTAAAAACTTATTATAGCATAATAATTATTAAGATTATAATAATATAGAATAATATTATATAAAGGTGTTATAATTGGCTGAGGGATAATTTGAAAACTAAATACAGCAGTGAGAATGGATTGAATAATTTGTACTAGGTCGAAAAGGAATATTTGGATAATGCTAATGCAATGTTCGGATTTTGTATTTAATTATTCGGTCTAAAATCAGAAACAACAGAAGCATATTATGACGCTTTGACTTGATGAAGGGTTTCGAAGATGAGTTTTTCCTTGAAATTAGTGGCGTTTTGGTGATGGTTGAAATGAAAATTTTCCTGGCACTTGCAGGGAATTTATTTAAATGTTGGGACTTGGGGTTCCTTAAATTCGAATTTTTTGTACGGCACTTATCAAAGAGGTAATGTTTTTTTAGAGCTGTAGAAGCAATATTAGTACAATTTTTTAATTGGTAATTTTTGTCAGGTCTGATGCATCATAATTATAATGATTGGAAAAGTGGTCCATGATGGCTTTTATGAGATTCTTTAATTGTAACTTTACCATGCAATAACGAAATTATATTGTGAATATCAATATTGTTATTTTAAGATATGATTTCCACATAATTAATGTAAGAGTGAGGTTATTCTTGTTTATATTGTAGATATGCTTCACTGAATGATATTCTTCCGACAAACCAATTATATCGGTATTTAGAGTAAAATGCATGTGGATATTATGATCGCCAACTCTTTTAAAATATTTAAAATAAATTATTATTTAATGTTTATTATACCTAAGTAATTATAATTATAAAAAGTTTATAATATATACTTATTATTTTTTATTATTTGGTTTGCACGAGGTTCCGTCATAAGAAAATCTTCGAGTAAACAATTTCCAATTTTTTTTTTTATTTAAAAGCAGCACAACATCACATTTATTGTTGCAGTATTCGATTTTTTTTTTATTTAAAGATCAATCTGTAAAAGTCTGAAAATTCTTTGATGTTTAAAATGTTTAAATAACATATATGTACCTATCTAGGTATACATTCAAATCTAGTGATTTAAATTTATTTCCATTTCAGATCATAATACGCAGTGTACCTTTGTAATATTTACGTTGCTGCTCAAATACGTTGAGTCAAAAGAGTGAGCACGTATCATGTTATAATCAAACGAAATTCATGATCGACTTATAATTAGATCCAAAATAGGTATAGGAATTTGGTTTTTCGTTAGGCGTTGCATAATATACCGTGCACGCACCCTGCAGTGCGATGTTTCTTGTATATTATACTATGATATCACCCCAAAACTGCCACGACCGCTGCTGAATAGGATAATTTAATAATAATATCACTTTCTGTCGAAACACTCGTCCGACTGAATGTATGTCATGGCGACGACGCTGTGAATTGAATAATACCATATAATAATATTATGATATATTATTATTATCTATAACGTTTGCACAGAACCGCGTGTGCCGTTCAATCGACAGGAATATTCGATAACCAGCCGTGGTCTGCATTTCGGTATACACCACTAATATGTACTATAATGTACTTACCACTTTGGACCTGACCTAACCCGTCGATAAGCACGCTCGCCGACAACGGTCGAGGGCATACGAAAGATTCTTGATGATTTATGCTCGAGTACAATACAACACTGGCCGCGAAGGTCTGTCCTGCAGATTTTCATCAGAAGATCTGATCGCTTTCTGTATCGTTTTTCCCAGTACATGTACCAACTGAAGTTGAATACCACCGGCGGTAATTTCTATACCTATAATATGCTATAATACATTCGACGATGTACGGATGACAAAATCGCTGCGCCGTTTCCGACGATTTAAAAAATTTGTCAAAACATCGTACGACAAATAAAAAAAAAAAAAATTGTAACCAACCTCACACGAGTGCATTTAAATATATTATATAGGGAAAACAATATACATTTTTACGTACTGTTTCAATAACGTTACGTCGCACACAATATGATATAGAATATACCTACGTTATTTGTTGAGTAAATTACGTGGACTTTATTTTAATAAATGTTTAATATGTAAGCATACTTGAACCTTGTCGTCAAACTATCAACAAACTTCACTATAGTACACGAATTCTAAAAACTAATAATACACACACGTGCAACAAACTATATTACTATAATGTCATATCGAATATAATATTAGATAATTATGAAAATACCAATAACTTAATATGAATAATTATCCAAACACTGACTCAGGACGTTGTGCACATATTACGTGTTGAGCTATAGATACACGGCATATTATTATGAGCTGAAATATTCGGCGTATTCAAATGTTAACCATTTACCAGGTAGTATTATTATTATAAGGTTGTATTCTTAATCCATATGCATAGGAGGAAATTGAGGGCTGAAAAAAAATTGCCCTCTTAATATATTCGAACAGTTATTGTGAAGGGATAAAGCCCATAATATTTCGGTGAGTCATGATTGGCAAGATTAGTTAAACCTAAGGTATTACTGTGAAACAAATAAAATACTCTTATGAATATAAACAATAAATGCATTATAATAATTGTATTTTCCTAAACTATGATTCATCAATGAGTTCAAATTGAATATTGTATCTAAAACTGGGACAAAATGAATAAGAAGGTGCACTTGAAACCGTCAAAACCAGTAAAATTACTATTTGGTTACACAGCTTTCTAAAAGTTTTGACATAATTTTTTAATTGGTTGAATGATTGCACTGGCAATTTTGACGAACCATCTTGTAATTAATCTTAAATTCAAAATCAAAAATTCAATAGTTGAAATCAAATCAAACGGATTAATTGTAAAATAAAAACTCAATGAAATAAACATATTTAAAAAAATTATAATATGTAAATGTTGAATTTGTTTTTCCTAAATAAAAAAAGTAAATTTTGTTATTTCTTAAAAAACATAATCTCGAATTGCACGTCTCAATCAACTTCAAAAAAAAAAAAAAATAATATTAATAAAGAACTTTTTTTAATAATTGTAACAAATCAGATTGACGAATTATGATTGTAATTCAAATTTAAATTTAACGTTAACTCTCATTTAGACAATTTTTGGATTAAGTAAGTAACAGAAAAATTATATATTTTCTGTCATTTATATTCTTAAACGTATCTTATACTTGTATTGTAAATTTAAACTCATCAAATTAGAAAATCAAAAAATAATATAATGATTAGACGGCGCTTTAGATAGGCAAATTAGCAGCATTCCAGTCGTGGGTATTAGATTCAAGCTAAACGATGAATGTATTGATTTTACAATGAAGTTTTCTTTTCTGTCTGTCATCACCTTTTTGGGCAGTATTGATTTAGTTTTAGCCATAAGGGCAGTTTTCTAATTGGAACTTTCGAGGGGAGGGGGTCAAATATAAAAAGTACTTTTTTATAACCAGGAAAACAAAATTAAAGAAAAATGGGAATTTAAACTCAAAACAAGTATTCGACAATATATATTGATTATGGTTTTTTTGGTGTTACTCAAAAACGAAGAACTGCTGCTAAGAATTTTTTCTCTCAATCAATTGTACCTACGCATTTGAATATAAAGTATTGACAAAATAAATATTGAAAATCAAGAAAATAAACAAATTATTTGGTAGTAAAAAAATTTTAACTTTCAATTTTCATAGCTTAGGTTTAAAAATTGAATACAAGATTCCTTATACAAATTTCCGAATTACTGAACCTAATTAAAACAAATACAATAAGCACGATATACATGTATATAATATATATATAATATAATAATAATAATAATAATAATGTATATATATATATGTATTTTTGACGTTTAAGTTAAAACGTGGTCTAAATTAAAAATTTTAACGATGTATAAGGGTGTTATTTATTTTGTTGTAATTCAAATACAATATTAGTACGTCTTTTAAATGTATACCTAAAAACTATTCACAACTACCTTCTGTATGTATAAAAGTTAATAACAATAATATACGATAGAAATATTATGTAGTATAGTAATAATAATTAAATATTAATAATATAATAAATTAAATGAATTTCGTCGAAATGTAAACAACTTACCGTAATGTTCATAGTAAAATAAATATATAAAAACATGATAATATTAATTAATATATTATATACTTGATGTTAGTGATTTAGCCTGACAACTATCGCCTCTCAGAACTGTTTTTTGCACATAATATTATAATGATATATCATTGAGTTGAAATATAAAACATATTAATCTATTAGAGTGACCCAATGAAAACCTACTGTACAGCAGTATGGTACGCACTTGCCTACCTGCATTTGAAAAAAAAAAATGTTCATATTTTTTTTTACAGAATTAAAAATTTAAAAACTTATTTTTCTGATCGGTTTTTTGACATTTTTTTGACAAGTCCTCTCATCTGACATCTCCTTCCCTAACTACAAAGACAGCGTTATGCCACATTATTGTGGCATTTCATTTTCTATGTAGAATTATTACACGAATATTATACAATATTACAACTGTAGACTTTCTCAGAGCAGTAAGAGCTCGACGTACCAATATTATTTGCTGTAATAAACGTGGCTCAGATTGTTTGAGGCTGGTATAATATGACTCTGCAAGTTGATATAATATATTATTATATTATATAATATAATATACCTTTGCTCGCACGAGCTGCGGATCAGAAATTAAAACGAGTACCTATATAATATCGTGTATTTGGTGCAAATATTGCAACATGCCTCGGGCCTTATAATATTACGTAAACTATCGCAAAATCGTTTGACGTCGAGTTTTGCGTACTTGCCTTAATAGAAGTAAATAAATCACACGCGATATCAATTAAAATTACATAGCGTTACGATCAGCGATATACACGGTACTGTTTTTATTTTATATTTATTTTTGATCGGAGCATCGAAATCGTTTGTTTGAATTAATCATGTGATAATTGTCAGAACTGCGAGGGTATAGACGTACCCCAATTAAGAATAAAATATTTTATTAATATACTTACCAGTAAGTTCTTTAGCCCCGTTATAACCACAAGACGCATGATGTGTATGACCATCAGTAATAGCCAATAGACGAACCAATTAACGCTGTGGACGACACAAAAATAAAATGCACAAGATTAATATATTTTATCAGGTTTCACACGTGCTAGTCGTGATCGACATAAATAATGTTACGCATGGAACAGAACGAAAAACAACTAAAATCATATTATTCATCATATTTTAATATGATAATGTTATAGTGATTATGTGGCATTCTGACATTCTGTAAATAAATTAATATCCCATTAAAAAAACACACGTCATTCGACCGTTGAAAGTATATAAATTTCATCACCGACAACCGTTTTTTCTTTTTTACATAATATACGTCATATTATACGGAATCCTGGTTGAATTATAAATGTATACATTCCCTAGTTACGTTTAATATTAAAACTCGATAAAAAAAAACTAATTGTTTTTCGAAAACTGACTTCATCATAGACAGCTAGTAGACAGCAAGCCCGTTCGATTCGAGATTAAAAAAGAAATCAAAATTTGTTACCTTTTTTTTATTCGCCGAAGGAACCGATGGCTCTCGAATGGCACGATTTTTTTCGATTAGTTTTCTTGCGATTATCAACCGAAATAATATTTGATGTCAATATTATTCTGCGCTGGTTTCGTTGCTTTTGAAATACGCCAGAAAAATGAAAACCAAATCACGCGAACGTCACGCGAAGAACACGTGTAGATTTTCGAAATAACTCGATCGATCAATAATAATTTACTAGGTATACTATGTTTTTCTTTCGGCGAGCAGATGCATAAAAGATTGTTAGCTTTTAAACCTTTTGCGGTTCAATCCGTGGGGCAAGACTATTATAATATGCGAACAACGTTATCCAAACGGTGACGTTTTGGAAATAAACGATGGTCCTTACAGTGAACCAGCTGTAGCCATATTATAAAACGTATACATTTAAGCATATTATTATTATTATTATTATTATTATTATTATTATTACTATTATTATTATTATATTCTGTAAGTGGCAACAACGAAACCGGAGATCAACATTTGATGTATTGCAAAAGAGTCAACCGAAAACGTGTATAGGTAGGTACATACTTGTACATTTATAAAATATAATATATTATTATAATATACATATTGCATATTATATAGTATTACTATGCAGAGATGGATACGGTAACGGCATATAAATATATTTATGTGTGAATATTATCGTATATATCGTATAATAATAGTCTTACTTGGAACTTTACCTACTTACCTTACGTAAATACATAACTCACTATATCTCTTCTCTCTCTCTCTCTCTCTCTCTCTCTCTCTCTCTCTCTCTCTCTCTCTATTTTTCTTCTCACACATATAATGTATTATCCACAAAAAATAAACACGAACCTAATAACTCTACCGTGTGCTAGTGTCGGAAGTATAATAAAATGTCCAGGATGTCAGTACAGGATTTGTAATTGTAAATATGTTGAAAAACCGTATAACCGGAAAACATTAAATCAGTCTTAAGTCCCTTTGAAAATTGGTTACTTTTCCAAATATATGTTCAAAAATTTTAAGTTGTGTAGATATTTTATGAACCTTGAACTCTATATTTTACCTCGAGTCGTCGACTCTCATACAAACAAATTTTATAATATTATGTGTGAATACCAAACATTAGAATATGAAATACTTTAATTTCTGATTACATGAGTTATTTTCATTCATTAAATGTATGATCATTCGATTATGATATTATAAATTATCTAATCAAAACTTGATACGGAGCCATTAAGCATATAACCTATAATAGCTATTATGGTAATAAATAAAAAACAGAAAATACTGTGGAAAATTGTTTCTGGATTTGAAACAAAACAAAGCCTTCGTCAATGGTATAATATTTAAAAAAAAAATACTTTTTATAATAGTGAAAAAAATTAAATAAAAATATTAATATGTATTATTATTATTTATTACACACACATTACAATATTCCAGTGATTCCGGTATAGATATTGAACTTTAACATTGGTTAAGCTTGATTTCTGAATGGTAGACAAAATGGATACCTATCACCAATGTTGGTAACCTTCCAGTGTGCCATCGTCATAACGCAAGTATTGGTTGCTGGGTACAAGTGGCACTCGTGGACGAGGTTGTGGGGACACCTCCCCCGAACGGTATTTAGACAGACCTTCCAGACCGATTGGGTCTCTGCTGACTTGGGCCGTGAAACCAGTCAATGGATGCGATTGGTAATTAACTGTTCTGACCATACCGTCAGAGTCCAGCAACCTGTAGTAGCCAGTCAGTTGATCGCCGTTTTTCGTCTCCTGTTGGTCCTTGATGTCACCACTCGACGGATCGTTCACGCCGTATCCAAAGTTGTATCCAGCCGACACTATCTGATGCGTGCAACAAACTATTAACACTGCCAACAGGAACGCTGAACTTGTGACCTGGGAAAGAAGATCAAAGCAATGAGAACTAATGAAACAAATGGATATAATATAATCGATATAATAATATAAAATAGGCAATGTATAATATGTAATTCTAACATCTGTTTTTCGATAACTACAAATATTGATTGATTGACCTATTTTTTGTTTGGCGTAATGTAATGTCGAAATGTTGGGTTCCAGTGAGATCACACTCCAAATTCTCTTACCGTATTGTATGACAACGTGCAGTGAATGAAATAACTTAAGGTCACTTAATGTCACGCCGTTCTCACGATAAAATAATAGTAGTTGGGAGTAGTCAAAAGTAAATAGTTCCCAACATACTTCTATAGTGTTAAAAAGAAGGAAAAACAGAGATTTTTACCCAAAGTCTGTTATTGACAAAATCGATTTTGATTTTTGATGTTACTCTAAAAAATTTAACAGTAGATACTTCATGACATTTTCCCCGAAAGTTTGTAATAGAAATTTTTATATACGATACAATTTTCAAAACATTAAACAAATTTTGAACTATTTATAGTCATTTGAAATTTTCAATTGTTTTTAGTTTTTATTTTATAAATATCAATAAAAATGTTTCTATTCATATCGAAGATTCGTAAATTGAATATAAGATTTCCTATAATTTGTTACAATAACAGTTCAAAAATATTAAATATCTATTGATTTCTTTTTATAATAAAAAAATCTAAAAAAATGTAGAATTACTTGTAACCTAAAAATATTGTTCATGGAAACTTGCAACTTGTGAAGTATATTAATTTATTGTATACCTACAGACAATTATTTTTTTCAAATGCAATTTGCTTATCAAAAATTAATCCAACCAACTGTATTAGTATATTTTTACTTATGGCTAAAAGCAATATAAACTACTTTAATAACAGTAATATCATAAAATATATTATAGGCAGATGGTCTATCTTTCTATAAAAAAATTGTTTAATACTTAATACATCAATGTTTTTATTTTCCTACTTTTGTTATGTTTCAATAAACTATAGGTATGCCCAAAACGAAAGTTGTAATTCGTCATAAAAATGAAATGGCTAAGGGCTCAAAACAGCCCCCCCTCCTCCCAAAAAAAAAAGTTTTTGGTGATACCTCTGGTAAACAGTAAACTATATAATGATAATATTTGGTAACAAAGATTTGCCCAGTGTTTGAGTTTGATGTTAATTATGATCGATGTTATTTAGTATAGTGTAATAAGAAGCGATTGTCTCGAATATTCTTAAATTTTTTTCTCGTGCCTAAATCGTCTAAAAAAGGAGTTGCACACCTGCAATATACTTACACGGTCGTATTACGTAGTAGACATAACACGTGATTTATTACATTCTACTACTGCGAAAATTATATGCGCTCGTTGAAATTGAAAAACCGGAATTTATTTCTTGACACATTTCGGAGTTAACGCGTTGAAAAAGAATATTTTTATATGTCATGAAGCGCAAGAGTCATTACCCTGCAGGGATTTAAAATACTAATAATAGTAATAATAAAAATAATAATAAAAAAAAATCCAGACAGGAATGTATTAAGAGCGAGTGATGGAGCCACATGGATCTTGATTCGAATCAAGTCTCAGCATTCATAAAACAACAGATTAGAATACAATTGTTGATATCGGTGTTAAAAAACAAAACATTATTAATTTTATTAAAGGGACCAAAAATAAACGAGTCAAATAATTGCATTAACTGTATTTTACATTATTATGTTTTGTAAAAATTGTCAATTATCTGTGATGAAGTTTTTAAAGATATTGTTAAAGAAATTAACTTAATAACATTATACGAAAAACGTACGGATATTATTTATAGCCATATATAGTATAAAGCATAAAGATAAGAACTTAGCACAAAGTCTTATTTATAATAAATCAATGTTTCTTACTTTAATATACTGCATGTTCGTATATTGATGTTCTAACTAAAAATGATATTATTATGAGTTTGGATGGATCAACTCGTGGTAATGAATATAATGTAATTTTTGAAAGCACTTATATAGTCGTCTAGAACAGTACATTTATTGTGTCAGTGGTGGTTAATTCGGCCGATAACAGACCTTGACATTGACTAAATAGTAAATAGTTATATTACTGTTTATAAATAACACATTTAAACGAAAGTATTTATTGACAATTAATATACATAATATATAATTTGTTATGAATAAGATTCATATAGGTACATGGTACATCCCTGTTAATGAGAATAACTCAATAACATCATATTTTTTACTATACATATTCGATACAAACTATTACCTAGGTACCTACCAATATTATGTACGTGGAAAAATGATTAAATACTAAATTTAACACGACTAAAAATTCGAGCAAGTAGATTAACGCTCTGCTGTTCATTATAGGCGTCATGTGTACCTCGCCATTGAGTAGGTCACTGTAATAATGGATGACTAGTTGAATTTGAATTCAACGATAAATTATTGCACAAAAAAAAAAGATTCTGAGCGGAGATGAGACTTTATTGCTGAGGTGTATTTATATTACTACCATTTAGTACTTTGATTTAATATAAGTAATACTGTAATAGTATAGAAGGTTGAATTAATCTCTTCCTATCACATTGGATATTTTATTATATTATTGAAAAATATTTATTTTACAATTGTATATAATTGTTCTTAACTTTTGAGTCAATATCGACTTACTATAGAAATCGATTTTTATCCACAAAGACGTTATATTTTTATATTAGTACAACTGTTGAAAGTTGAGTACAAGATTTTTTATCAATTGATCTCGCCACAACTAAAAAGTATTGAAAATACATAGTCTCAAGTTTTCCTATAGTAAATAGTATTTAAAATATCTTTTAATCCATAAAAATTGAATTTAAACACCTGAGACTTGAACATTTAAAACAAGGTTCCTCATAAGATTTTTTAATTAGAATTTTAAAAAAAAGTTTTAATATGATAAGGTACGTACATTAATTGGAGTAAGTTAGTTGTTTTATACAATAGGTTATACCTAAAATGTACGTGCACATAAAGTAACGATTTCTGTTAATTTTATGTAATTCGAAAAATATTATTCGTTTGTATTTACTATCATAATATATATTATGAAATATGTTAAATAATTATAATAACTTAATTTACTTATGGCACGAACCCATTCACACCGTTCTATAGAATTAACTAATAAATTAATAACAAAATAGAGTATGTACAAATATTACTATACATCGCACTGACTTTTTATAGAATCTAAAACCTCATAGTAGTCATCATTATTCATTAGTCGGTTAATGGTTTTCCACTTTGTAATCGCGATATGGGATATGATAATATACTTCGATATTATATTATAATATAATACTCTCGAGTGTACTTTTCAAACGAAACATAGTAAACATTTACCTAGGGAGGATAATAATGAAGTCTATACCGAAGGGAAGACAATGTTTGTTTAGGTGAAAGCTATTGAAAAGTATGTAAAGACTGGAGGAAACTCCGGTGATTTCGTTTTTATCCGATAAAGATTTAAGCCGAAATAAAAATTGGTTTTCTGAAATTGCATCATTATTGCATTAATATTGTAAAACCCTAGATGTCCTTTTAAGTTATTGTTTGAGACTTGTTTTAAAACTAATGCATTTACTCTTTAAACACAAATAAAAACACAAATATAATCATTGTATTGATCATGTAGGTACAAAACGGTCATCCCAAAATAAATAATAAATATGTACATGTTTCTAGTTTTCTAATTTAACATTTGCAAATATTAGATCATAAAATAAAAATTATTATTTGAGATGGGATTATATTTGTCATTAAATCCTAGACATGATTGATAGTCAGACTATTTTCAACCAAAAATTAAAAGTTTAATATTATGTACCTACCCATTTAAAATGTTAAAAAATTGTTTGGCCAATATGTAATGAGTAAATTAGAACATAATAATTATGACATATTAAATATAATATTACTATAGTAAATTTATATGACAAGAAATAAAAAGAAAAAACCTTTTAAAAATATTTACACGTCATATAAAATATTACAATATAGGCAAACAACACGTAATATTATGAATCTTTAACATGTAAAATAAAGTAAATTTAATTTAGTGCCTAGGCCTTACAGTATTAAATGAAACCATTAAATAATTTATATTTATCAAATTTAATTGCAAGAACATTTTAATATGACATATAGGTATTAAACGGTGGGTATATAAAATTGATTTATTATGAAAACACTTAAGCTAGATAACACTATTTTAATACTATTACGCGTATCTCAATTCTCAAAATCATTACACGATTCTACTGCTATCCAATTTTTTTTTATTGTAATGTACAACAGTAATACCAGATAAATCTTTGAAGTTCATAAATTATACGATTGACTTGTCCGGGTTCTCTAATTTCGAGCATCTAATATCAAACTGATAAATAATAATAGCAATAGTGTATATTTAATTAAAATTCAAAGAATACAACTGTTTATAATATGACGTATACATTAATTCGTCGATATATTTTTCTAGACTAATTTATTTATTTTGAACATTTTCAAAAAAAAACACATATCCATTAAAATGTCATGAATCACGATAATCAGCGGAAAATGGCAACGTTGAGAGATCTAGTTAAACACAGTTTAAAGTGTTCAATTTACAGTTTTTTTCATGGGCTGCAGTAATAGATAATTTTAATAGATAATTTTTATCATTTAAATTTGAGCATAATATAAGTGGCATATAGGTACCTACTATATATTTGAAAAATATCTCTATTGTTCTGACCTTGATTATTTATACGTACAAATGTATTAAAGCCAATGGGGGCCTGCTCTATTAAACAAGAATTTCCAATAGAGTAATTCAATATAATGTATTATTTTCTTCTGTAACAGTTAAAATTCTAAAATTGAAACAACCTACTAAATTGATCAATAAAATACAATAGTAAAATATGTTTAATATATTTGAAACAATATGTCGCAACCAAGTGTCGTTAATTTGACTTTCTATTATTATTTAGCCATGTATCCAACATAAATGTGTTGCTCAAGCGTGAGCAACATATTATTATTTAAAAATAGTTATTATATTTAGTTATATTAATAAATACAAAATAGATATTGTAATTAGCTACATAAACAGGTAAATCTAAATATGGTTTTTAATTTAACAATATTAAAACTATTGAACTATATGTTGTGAATATGTATGTACGTAAGCGTATAAATATACCGATACATACTTTTGTTTGTCCCTTTTTCTGTCTAATCACTGATTACTTCTAAATACTACTACTAAAATAAAAACATCGTTGATTCATAAATGTGGGTATATGCATTTATAGTGTATTGAGTTTTGAACCTGCAGTTGAAAATATCCTCAAAAATATAATATGCTGGCGCCACTGGTTTAAAATGTGATCATTGGAGTCATCAAAATTTAAAATATTCACAATATTTGTTTTTTTAATTTCATAACTATCTTTTGGTTGCCTAAGTAAAGACAAAGTTAGTGAGTAGTCATAATATGTATTAAAATGTTGTAGCTGATGAAATCAGGAAATAAGCATATAGTTTGAAAAAACATGCCAACATATTATTGAAATCTTGAAGTCAACAACTTACTATTGATAGGATAAGTTAGTACACTTTATGCTGTACGCTAAATTATAAAGTTCGGCGTACGATCATCGCTAGTTTTATGCAAACGTAGAGTGCTGCATTATACTCTACATTTTATTTTTAATTAGAAAAACTAAAACAGTAGCCAAAGCTCAGAAAAGATTATCTCAATTCCAACTGGGGCTTTTAATGTCAATAAAAACGAAATGACAGTGACATTTTTTCAGTACCCACCTGTTTTCAAGTATTTTGTTATATTAATAACTCTTACACTGCCACAATTATAATATAGGTCCAAATTCAGGAGAATTTTTAGATAAATATTATAATACATAATCGAATCATACAAATGTGGATATCAAAAATAATATCCGAGTTAAATAGGTGTTTATATAGATTTCCATTTATTGTGTAAACTTGAGATTTTTGGTGAAAATTCTCTCGAGACTAGGATCCCTGATAACACGGAATTGCATATAATATTTTTATTTACATGTAGCTTATACGTCTTGTATTATAAACGTGAATGTATATTGTATGTTATATGGTCCAATATGACGTCGACGTGTTGGTGGAAAGGCTTTACATTAAAAAAAATCTAATAATTTACACGCGTCATAAATGCTCGTCACGTTTTAATTTTGACGTGGCCATTAATCATGGGATATCATATCCCTGATATTATGTACCTACATAATATGTAATTTTAGTAAAATACAATTTACTCTTTTGAAAACGTTTTTTGAAGAAGAGTACACAACTTGGTAGTTACGCCACCCTTATTATTTTGACACACGAATATTGTTATACAGTTTAAGGAAAACATGAATTTATATTTTGTCTGTATATCGCGCATCGCAATGTGCTAAAGCTTTAAACATTTAACAATAATGTCTTACAATCCTCAAGCCCATTCATTCTTATACCACTTGTTGGTGTATACGATTTTACTATAGTATGAAATATTGAAATTATTACCATGCAGTGAAAAAATGATTGTTCGTTCATGTTCACTAAATATGTTTGAGAGTAAAACTGTAAAAGCCAAAAAATAAAAAATGTACTTGTATTGGTCAAACATTGTCAATTATAATAATATACCGTTGACTATCGTGTTCTACGTTCCGCACGCTATCGTTTCCACAAACTTCGTAAAGTTTTGAATTATACATTTTTCTTTGTACAATATTTGTACAAATAATCGGAAAAGTTGTTTCTCAATCGTATACGAATATTTTTCCTCAATTTACTTTGTTATTCATAGCATAACTCGTATTCAGAGTTCTTAGACACATAACGGTTAAGTAGCGACCATACGATAGGTTAAATCTACAGTGTAACCACAGTTATCGGTATTATCGGTGTTTATAGGGAGGTGTAAGCAATAAGCACTTATTTCAGAGACATCGAGTTACAATAAACGAAAAAGCATATAATTTGTATTTCGCAGCCAAAACACAGTTTGAGAATATAAGAAATGGACGGTGTGTCTTCGGTCTATCGGTAACGAAAGATTTCGTGTTCTGTCGTTGTAGTCGCAGATATCCGAGCGTTATAAATGCATAATGATTATTATTATCATACCGCGTTACGATTATTTGTCTGTGAACAAAAAACAATAACGCTGTCTGTCTAACATCGCGAATTAAGAAACATTCGGGGACGTACAGCAACTCGTAAGTCCGTTAATGTCATTTACAACGCGGTGCGTGTGCAAGTTGGCTTTCTGTTTATATTGCGTTTTTCGTATATTATTATGACCTCTCATCCGCGAAAGCGGAAAAACTATACGAATTATACGAGCTGTGCGCCCCACGTGTGTTACATACTTACACAGAGTTACATCGTAATATATTATTATAATGTGATATCGTATTATGCAGTCCGGTCGGGACCGAAAAAAAAACGCGAGGGGCACGGCTCGTCTTACAACACACCGCCGACCTGTCCGGAGTGTATCAGCTTGTCGCAGACAATTTGCCGATTTGCACGCACGATTAAACGAATAAAAATATTATAATAGAAATATTATACTGGAATTTATTTATCGCACACAAACGTCGCACCCGCATGAACACTGTATGCAGATTAAAATATCAATATTTATAAAGTACGAGTGCATAGTAATAATATTATTAACACAACATGAGACAATTTACGAATAACGCAGTTGTTTGTATTGAAATCATTTGGACGAAATAGAAAATACCGACATTTTATACTAACATTTGAGTTTTTCAACGTTTTACTCAGTCTAAAAATGCACAGTGCATACATATACAAAGGCAATAATATCGAACTTGATCTGTACCTGAGGGCTGAAACGCAAAAGATGTGACACTTATAGGCTGTCTGTCACAGTCGAATCAGAATACCTACCACGATGATAATAATACTATTATTCCTGTTGTCGGACAACCGCAAGTTCTTAGTTGTAAGAATAATGCTGAAGGTCGTGCCTGTTTGTTGACCAGAATGACTACAACTTCACAAACGAAATCAAAATTTGGAAATATTTATTAATCTTATATACAACAATTTTTTTTTAATATTTCTAAATGTTGGTTTACTTTGCAGAGTTAGTTTTTATATTTTATTTATATATTGTTACTTTTGAGTAAAACTTCAGGTTGGTATAAAGTAAATATGTTATATGTTTCGCTTCAATATATAAATGTATAAGCATAATGTGTTTATATTATACTATAAATTATAATTATATCAACACATTTCTATAATTATTATATCTTATATCAAAATATACTACACGACGTATCAAAGTTTAAAACAATATTAATAAAAGGTTTTCCATTATTAATCACAAATAAAATAAATACAATATTGTTATTCGGCGGCTTGGTGAAGGGCGGTCGTACGCTGAATCTGCAGAAATACTTTTTGTGTAGGTGCAGGGCGACGTTGCTAGCTCCCGCGGATGGGTGACCACGTGGGCTTTTAGCAACACATCCTTGCCAAACATACACAAATAGGTGTTACAAACCTACCAACATAAAAACCTACTAAACATATACAAAAAAACTCCCTACCGTACCACCCTACACCCAAAGGCCTATGTTGCTACGGGTTCCCCTAATAAAAAAATAATGTTTAGTTTTCAATGTTTTTCCCGCTTCCCATGAAAAATATTTCGTTCGCCACGGACTTCTGCCTAGGTACTTTGTACCTATAATATTTAGCATTATTAATTGTTATTGTAAATTACTAAATGATGGTTATTTGATGTATATATTATTATAATATTCACTCACTAATGACTATTTACAACACATACCATGACAATATGGGACAACGAGCGTTTAAAAAGTTGTCCATCTATTAGGCTAACCTTCTAGGTGAGTAAGGATTATTTTCATTCAACCAAACCAATTATTATCTATTATAATTGAATTGAAGTCTTATTTTCAAAATATGTAGTCCTTTACTCCTTTAATTATACTTAGATCACATTATTATATTTTACATACGTACATTATTTAATTTTCTAAACACGTGTAAACTTATTTCTGTCGGCCATACGCAATAATATAGAATGCTTTTACGTAAATTATGCATTTGTCATTTGTCAACAATTACAGCGATTTAATCGTAAACGACTTAATTTCCTAAACAAAACATACCTCAAGAAGTAATATATAATAAATAATAATAATATATTCAATAATATATTTACTAACCAATATTTCCTATATACATTATCCATTTGTACCTATCATGTATTTACGTATGGGTACATACGTAAAACATTAATTGAATTAATTGCTAAACATTGGTGATGATTCGCGTAGGTATTCATCTATAAACTGTTATAATGTAGAGTTACCTATACCAATTATAATAGATACAGTTTTTTCCGACTGGCATGATAATGCAATTGATCTTTTCTAGAATCAAAGTACTAAATACTTGATGAGTAAATATTATTAAGACATGTTGTGTATGTAATCTAAAATGTATCGTGAACTTAAACGAGTGAAACGTTAAATATATTCAGATATTTTAAACTTTGACGATTACAAGACAAGCTAACATAATAATCACTGAATAAAAATGAAAAAAAAATGCTTGTCATAACTATTTTTAATAATACAATATTCTAGAAGGAATAGATGCATTTTTACGCTCCAAAGTATAAATAATGAAATGACACATATTTAAAAAAAAATGTATCATTGAAAAACTTCTCAGATTACACAAGAGCTTAATGTCATATTAAAACCAATTTTAATACGCTTCTGGTCATGACATAGCCGACGCGATGTTGTTAGGTACAATTTCGAATACTATTTGGTATCTAGTATAGTATAATCGATTTCGTATGAAATACAAGGTCTTCGTGTTTTTCTAATCCCCACATGAAAAACATCCGGAAGGTTCACCACAATATGACAGTATATAAGCGCCAGTCATCATCTTTCCTATCACAGTCAAAGTTTGGTCTCTCAACAGGTTAACTACTGCATCAACATACCAACTCGTAATACTTTCTCGTGTAGTTCGACAATCGCAAATCGTGCTTTATTTTCCATTTCAATTTAACCAACAACAACGGCAGCCACTATGAACGCCCAGGTAAGTGAATATATTTTGTTTTAAGTGTCCGGACTTCTACCGAGTTCATTTCATCGTTTGAGCTCAGTAAGGGCTAAACAAAATTAAACTAAAAACGTTTTACCGGTCACACTGCAGCAATCTCGGTAACGCAATTATGTTCATATATTCTTCTTGTGTAGATCTGTTTGATGTTGGCCACGAGTTGCTTGGCGATGGTTTCGGCCAATTCGGGATCATACAACTACGGATACAGTCTGAACGATCCGATCACCGGCGAACTCCAGGAACAACGGGAGGCCAAAGCATGCAATGACCAGGTGGTATATGACGACGTCAAACCGGTAATTGTCTCCAAGAGCTTTGTTTCCGAACCAATCATCTCAGTGACCCCAGGACCGATCCTGAACGCTGAATATGTGTCCTCGTCTCCAGCACCGATTTTGCGCTCCGACTTTGATTCTTCCCGAATCGTGGCCGCCGCCCCATTGTTGGAAACAAAAATTGAGGCCGAACCAGTGATTTATGCTCCTCGTCCCGAATACGCTCCTCTTCCCAAGTACGCCGCCCCGATCACCGTGACCGCCGCGCCGATTTTGGAAGCGAAAATCGCAGCCGAACCACTGATATACGCTCCTCGTCCCGAATACACTCCTCTTCCCAAATTCGCCTCCCCGATCACCGTGACCGCCGCTCCGATTTTGGAAGCGAAAATCGCAGCCGAACCACTGATATACGCTCCTCGTCCCGAATACACTCCTATTCCCAAGTACGCTGCCCTCCAAAAGTACGCACCACGTCCCGAATATTTCGCCGCTAGTCCAGCACCTCAAGTCGCGTCCAGACTGTCAACTCCGATCGTGCAGGTCCAAGCTGCCCCGTCCAAAATCATCAAGTCCGCCCAACTCGTGTCGTACGGCCGACAGGCCTCGTCTTACTCACACAAATCGTTCGTCAACCACCCGCAGACTCCCGCTAAAGTCGCTGCCATCGCCGCACCCCAGTACTACTCAGCCGCCCCAGCAGCACCATCGTATTACGCGGCCGCCCCCGCAGCACCAGAATATTACTCATCACCTGCCCCCGCAGCACCAGAATATTACGCACCCGCCCCCGCAGCACCAGAATATTACGCACCCGCCCCCGCAGCACCGATCGCCTTGAAGATGGCCTACCCCGTGCAGGTGCGAGCCAATGCTCCCCTGCAGCAGGCCGCTGCTGGACTTGTGTACGCCCCGTCCGCCCAGTACGCGTACCGCAGTTCGTCGTCTCCAGCGACTTCGTACCAGTACGCCAAACACTGGAACAGTGGCGAACAGTCGGCCGCCGGTCAATTGCGCTACGTCGCGGCCAGTCCACAGTACTATTCCACAGTATACCAGCCCCAATTGGATTCTGTGACCCAAGTACACAATTCAGGACAATATGACGCAGCCCAGGAACAACCATGCGACAAATAGTCGTCGTCACTGACCCACATTTTTCGACTTGTTTTCCTGTGACAATAATATATTATAATTATAATTATGCTTATTATTATATTATAAAATGTTTTTAATACAACTAAATGGTTGTTTTTCGTCATTTTCTTCCCTCTTTGGTTATAATATTATACTCCTTTTGTACACGATATTGTTATGTACCTATTAATGTAGCAATGTGTAAAGTGATAAATTTATAAATAGAACTTTGTCGCTGAGGTCTCCGTTAGTCAGTAGTTTGTCCGCTCGGAAGTATAATAACCACCCATATGCGGTCTCGTTATTGTTACAATATAATATTATATATGAAATATAATAATATAATGTTATATCCATATGAAGAAAATTTCCATGAAAGGCCTTAAAATAATGTAAATGCATGATAAATAATGTTTTGAATGCAAACAGAGTTTATGTGAAGTTTAAAAAAAACTTTACTCTTTCGAAAACTATATTATGCACATTTTCCGGAAATTAATTCGGTGAACCGTTATCTTCTACATACCAGGTGATCAAATTTTCAAGTGTCTTATCTCATTATTTCAAAAAGTTTTAACTTTTTTTGAAAATAATAATGTTTTATAATTCGCTGTCATTTTAAAACAACGTGTCTGAAAAAAAAATAATGTTTACTATTTTTTATCGTTATCATTTTGAAGCTTTTTATTTTTACCAATAACACCATACGTTTCTTTGCTCGACCGATTATTCATTTGATATAAGTAATTAGAAGGAGATAAGCTAAAACGATATTTTTTTGTACACAAAATTGCATATTGCTTGTTGTAAACTGTAATTAAATTCAATTCACACCGAGTAGTTCGTAATAATAATACATAACAAAGATTAAAATATTGAAACTGTCGAATAATGGAAAACTTCAGGCTTTTTTCAATGGCACGCGGGAAGAACACTATTTATATTATTATATTTATTGGTTTTACCTACTGCAGCTGTATAACAAAAATATTGAACGATCGTAAACATAATACGTAATCAGTTTTACAGGCATAATAATAATATTAACTCCTCTATCACTATATCATTATTATTATTATTATTAATTATTATTATAAAACCGTCGGGTACATAAAACATTTCTGCTGACCAAACGTGCGGGGCGCGTAAATAATATTATCGCCCACGTGCACTATACACTTGACAGAAAAGGACAATTATTATTATTGGAATAATAATTATTAGTAACCACACCATCCATATTATTATGTTTGTTTTACCGCCAAACAGAGTTACTGTCGTGGTCCGTGAGTAAAACAATAATAATAATGATAATGATAGTATTATAATGGATGCGTTCGCGTATTTGCACACAATATCATTCGATGGCGGCGTGTACACGGAACCAATATGTTTCGTGAAATAGTTGGAATGATCAATTTTGATGCGCATTGTAAATACAGTGAGAAAAGTCATATTATTACTATACACCTATATTATATTGCAGTAAAACGACCACGTGTGTTTGTCTGTGTTATTATTGCGATAGCTTTGCAGCACTTGTACAATATAGTAAATTTCTGCGGACAGTCATTATCGTCTCCGAGTAATGTAAGTATTGACACGTTAAACGTTTCGATTTCAACCCGCGTACATGGCTTGGTCGATATACTTGTTGTTTGTTTGTAGTTGTTTGCCGTCTGATCACATTTTGTCGATAAAACCACTCTGAATAATGAGTATATACCTGAGTGTGATATATAGTCACTTACCGCGGTAGGTAAGACCGCATGATCGGATAACTTCAATTTCGATACAGCTATAACGTATGTATTATAGGTATTTAATATAGTGTCTAATGTATATTCGCTGCAAAACAAATCGAAATCATATTATAAATCACCTAAATCGATTACAAAAATAAACAATAATTTCGTTTGCGTCCAGATGTAGCAGCGTAAGCTACATCATAACGATATGTTAATATTGTTTTTTTTTTAATTAAAACTACATTTCATTGTTAAAAAAATATATAATTGTAATAATATTTTGATAGTACGCAACATTGAACATAGACACAATGAAAAAAAACTTGTAAAAGTTAAAATGAATAACAGTATAATATAACATTATAGGTTATATATTATATAATATATATACTTATTAGTTATCATTTTTGTTGAAATAGTATTATACTATAATAATAATAATAATATATAATATATAATAATAATATAATATAATACATAATATATATATAGTTTAAGATGGGACATGATTCGTCATAGGTAGAATCTATTTTTGACACAAAAAAGCCTACAACTACATTTTTCGGCACATGGTCAAATGTTTTAAAAAAATTGTAAACTATTACAGAAAAAAATTTAAAAATTTAAAATCTATCTATTACAAATAATTTCATTATGAAAAAAAATGGACTGATAATTCAATACATTTTGTTTAAATATTCGATATTTTGTAGGTACATTTATTATATTTTCAATGTTTTGCCACATTGAAGATTTTATTAGTGTATGTCTTATTCAAGCTTAAGCTTACATTTAAAGGAGGTTTTTTAATGATATTATATTTGGTGTCATATTATACATTTTAATGGCATAGAAGGTATTTCATAACCTGTTTATAGTATGTTATACATGAGGGGTTTTATTTTTATTTCTTATGATTCTACAATGAGGAAATCATCAGGAAATATTATCAAATTATAGCTAATTTTTTTCTGTATCCATTGACATAATACCTCAAAATCGTAAATTCAGCACATAGTGGTTTTTGTGTCAATGAAGTTAGTTTGATGTTCTGTGTTATATTTCGTGTCTCTACTTGTATTATATAATAATTAATGTAGTCTATGTAGATCTACTTAATATACGTATCAAAACAAAAACAAGAATAACAGACGGAACATCAGAATGTACATCAAAACAAAAACAGGAATAACAGACTGAATGTCCGAACGTCTGAATAAAGCGATTCGCCCCTCTTCAATCACATAATATAGCTCTATAGTCACATCAGTGATGAATTGCGGAATAGTAGTGTATTAATATTATTATGATGCCAAATTATAAAACAATGATAAATACAATAAAGATGTTCAGACCTAAAACTACTGCTATTATATATAGTTACATTAAATTTGATACAGAGGATGTATTATTAGTTTTCGTGAATTGAATATATTCAAAAACACTAAGTACGTTCAAACATTTAATAAATTTAAGTACCTACTGCAAATATTATTGTATACAAAGTACAAACAATTTTTTTTTTCTGAGAACAGTAACATGATTTTTTACTTACAAATATAAATTTTATAATTTTTAATTACATTTTATAGGCCTAAAGGAAATAGTATCTAGTTGGTGGATTTTGAAATAAAATAATATGTAGATATTATTTAATATAGTTGAATGTTGTACAATTACTATGAGTGAAACATAAGGTAATTAAAAAAGATTAATTAACTTCTTCTAACTTAGTTCAATTAATCTGTTTTTTTTTTGTCGTACCTACAATAATAAACGTACTTATTATATATTTGACAATACAATTTACAACTAAATTACAACACTCAATGAATCAACAGTATTGCCATTGATAAAAAGAAAGTTTCGTTTAACCCGTGCCATCAACACTATGCAGCTTGATCCAGTGATCGAACTCCAATAAAAACATTGTGGACATTAATTATTAGGATTCCGTTTGTCCTTCCTTTTTTCCCCTTCTGCCGTAGTACGACTTCCGCTAGCTGCTTTATAGTTTGTAGGCTAATCGAGCCATTGGCCATAGATGAATACCTGTGCGGAGTGCATAGAAAAATGGCGACCGTGGTTACCGCGGTTCACCAATCGGTCACGGAAATCGTGGAACCGTATATGTCATTCAAACATCCACCGTAAATAACTTGACTGTAAAAATCGTATACGTCTACAAAACAGTGTTGATGTATATCATCGACTTGCAGTGGTTCTCAAACACTGGGCACAGCTTAGTCCTCCAGTATAGTTTAGGGCTCGTAGAATGATGTAGGGACTAGGGGCCACGAGAATCAACCCGGATTAAACCGAATCGACATTATTACATTATAATGGGTTACACGTATACCAGGATATAGTCACGTCATATTGAAACATTTACACTATATATTATACTATCTGAGAATAATAACATTTATAATTTATTATACTGAATACTACATTATAATATTTCATTTAATTACTTACTTTAAATTAGTTCCTAATAGTCGAGAAAACGAGTCTAGTTGGTAAAAAATTAATATTCCTTGATTTTTGGGTTCCATAGATTTTTTTTAGAAACTTAATGGCTTTACGAATGAAAAAGTTTGAGAACCACTCGCTGGTAAGTATGGGACATTTCAATACGCAATAATGATATTATGGTTGGTCGTCGTTATATTGATTCTCGTTTACAAATCACAATAACGGTCTAGCGAACCTAGGCATGACCTATATAAGTTATAAGTTAAATAATATCAGTCGTTTAACGTATTACTTGGAAAATTACTACGAAATGTAACTAAATAATTAAAACACGCATTACTTATGTTTGTTGTGCGTCATACACTCACGCCAATAATATTATAGTCGACGAGAAGTCTGATAAATTCTGTGGAAAACCGTTTCTTCGAAATTACTTACATAATTATTGTCGTGTTTATTTATTTATTTAAATATACGGCGTACCCACGCAGTACTCACTTTGGCAACGATCATTGCTATAACCTATACCTAGCCTATAATGCTATCCATAGGGGTATTTAAACAGAAACAATAAAAGAAACGAACAAAAAGTGTTTTTTTGGGAATACCAATCACTCGGAAAATCTTTATTAGGGACTCTGGAAAACGGGCTCTGGTTCATTAATTTTTCAATCAGAAAAACAAATATTGAAATTCGCTAAGGATTTTGTCACAAAATAGAGTAATCCGGTGGCTATTACATTGTTGTCACATGTGAACGAAAATAATTGTAAGTATAAGGACAAAATGCATTTACTATAGCTATTGCTATACAAAATGTACTTGTATATCATAATATAT